TTCTGGGAGTTGAAGTCCACTCATCTTAAAGAGGCCAAGTTTGGACAACACTGCTTTAGGCTGTCAAATCTAAACTATTGCTCAGTTCAGGAATCCAAATTTCAGCAGCCAGAGTCACCCCTATCCAATCTCGATTTGAATATATCTACTAAGGGGAAGTTCACATCTCTCTTGGTAATTGGGGCACTGTCAAATTCCTGCTAGGTAGTTGTTCCTAACATGCAGCTGGAATCTGTCATCTTATCATTTAAGACTGTTATTCTGTGTCTGTACACTGAGATAAGCAAACAGGGCTAGAGAATGACAGATTTCGACTTAATCTCGTGAGTCATGTCATCACTGTGGAAGCATAAACTACAGGACCTCCTAGCTCACCATCCTGATGGCATCGAAGTGTAGTAGAGAGCAGGTGAATAGCTCCCTCTTATGGTACAGTACTACAGTGGTACACTAATTGTGCTCACACAACACACGAGCCAACCACATTTTAACCCTGAATGCCAAAAGTAATTAGTATAGTTAAAAATGTCCTTCAGTGAAGAAAGCCTGCAAGACATTTTCTGTTGTGGCTAATTTAAGGATTATTGAGCACTTGGCGGCTGAAATAACAAAGATGTCATAGTGTGTCTTTTATATATTATATTAATTATATTATATTATAATATTATATTATTATACTATAATAATGCCTTATTCCAAACAGCTTAATGTGGAACATGCCTGTTTCCTATTTTATCCTTAAAACTCTGTCAAGTAGAAAAATAGTAACTTGGTCCAAAATCATCCAGTGGGTACATATCATGGATTCATAAGCATTTCAACTCAAGCTTTCTCAGTCCTAAAAACATTCTACTGACTACCCAGCATTGGCTGCCTTAGTCACTGATGTTTGTTTGTTTAACACAGCAGGTAACAAAATAAGGAGTGGAACACTTTCCATTTCGTACGTGTATCTCTAACAGATCTCTAAGAAGATGAAGTGAAAAAACTGTTCTGCTCTAAATTTTGTCTTAGGTCTGTCTGCTTCTTCTCTTGCCCGTGACTGCTCTTTCTTAATCCATCATAAATGAATACGGCTTCGGATTAACAAATGATGTAGGTAAAACCCAGAAGTCTAAACTCCATCAGGTCAGAATTTTTGTGGCCAACCCTTATCGTTGGCTGAGGGCTTCTTAGCTAATGTGCTATTGACCTAAGGCCATTTGGATTTAGCTTGGTCTAGGATGCTCAGAGTTGCCCAGTTGAAACTATGGTTGAGTCTGTCCATGTGTGGTGAGATTAAGGAGTTTTCATTGTGTTTTCTGACTGCTAGTTGGTGTTCATGGATGCCCTCTGCTAGTCTTCTGCCTGTCTGTCCTACATAGTGGCTGTTACAGTCCTTACGCTGCATGTTGTAGATGACTCCTGTTTTTTCTTCTTGGGCTACTGGGTCCTTTGGTTTACTTAAGATGTATTGGAGGGCTTTAGTTGGTTTGTATGCTACAGTGATGCCGTGTACTTGTAATAGTCTGTT